CTACACTCATTACAAGAGCCCTTGAAAAGTCCCTCCTTTTAGAGGTCTGTTGCACAACATGGTGGCTATAGTAAATAAAGTGTTGTATACTTTAAAATGTAAAATGGCCAAAAGCAGATCTCATGTACCCCCCCCCCACATGAGGTGATGTACGGATATCTTAATTAGCTGGATCATCGTAAATTTTTAACAGTATGTTCATGCATGTGTGTGTGTATAGTCAAAACACACTGTATATTCTTAAAGACATCAAGATGAAAGAAATCACCCATGCACGTGTACTCAAAACACAGGTGACCTTTTCTTTCTAATTTCTCTATAACTGCCCAGTGATATCAAAGAAACATCTTTCCATGCAATTGACCATAGCTTCTGTTTGGGGCAGGTGAGTGCTTCTATGGTTGGTTGGAACCTCTGCTGGCCAGGATAGCTGAGAACTACACTGCAGTGGTGAGTCCCGATATCGCATCCATAGATCTAAACACATTTGAGTTCAACAAGCCTTCTCCATATGGAAACAACCATAACCGTGGAAACTTTGACTGGAGTCTCTCCTTTGGCTGGGAATCGCTCCCGGATCATGAGAAGCAAAGAAGGAAAGATGAAACCTACCCAATTAAGTAAGCCACTTGCTCCCATGTCTTACATTCACACCATAGCACCAAATGTTACACATGTATATGTGTTGTCACGGTAGCTGCTTATGTGATGATTCTATTTGTAGCCTAGTAATGTCTGGGGCTGTTTTGCATGATATTATAAGCAGCCAGTAGGAGTAGATGGAGTCTCATGCCTTCTTAAATTGTACTTTAAGAGCATTAAAGCAGGTTAAGGGGAGAAACGATAACATGGAAGATATTTTTTTAAAGTGCTTACTTCCTCCCCAAACCTTAACTTTGAAGAAAAAATTTTTAGTTATCCTTTGTCTCCATAAAAGAATTTAAATATAATATCTCTTTACCTGTAATGTCCGTTTGGCTCCTTAAGGGGCCTTTCAGCTTGTTTAATTTCTCTGTCAAACTGCAGTGATGTATTTCTTTGCAGGACCCCCACCTTTGCAGGAGGCCTTTTTTCTATATCTAGAGAATATTTTGAGCATATTGGAAGTTACGATGAAGAAATGGAAATATGGGGAGGTGAAAATATAGAAATGTCATTCAGAGTAAGTTTATGGAGATTAAACATAGCATACATGTCAAACAGTGTGATGTATTTTCTCCTGATCAGCTCATACAGAGCATTGCAGATGTATGCTGTCTTTATGTATTTAGTGCTTTCTATAATGTAATTGCTGGAAAATTGGCAATGAGGCTATTTCCATTTAAGTTGTAACTTGATATATTTATTCATGGTTGCCAATGTAACAAGAGGAATCAGTTAAACTCCTGTGTCCAGGCAATAACACCAATTAATGCACTTGTAGCTACTGAATTCCAGCCAAGATAAATATAATTAAACCTAGTGCTTCAGGAAATGAGTTGATTATCAAGGGAGTCAGTATGGAAAACATTTATTTATAACTGTAAAGGACACTGGACTTAACTCTTTATATCATATGCTGCTCTCCTTTTCATAATGCATGTTATAAGTTAATATAAACAAAACAGGCTTTTAGTAGTCATGACATGTGCTTATTAATACATTCAACTTCATGACTTCATTTTTGTGGTAATCATGTCACTCACTTTTGTCCTTTAGATTGGAAAATGGTAGGGGAAAGACCTAGGAATTAGGTGTATGCTTTGGCTCTGGCTCCATTGCACACTGAACTGATGAAGGGCAGGGGTCTTTTTAAACTTAACCTCGTGTTTCCAGCCCTAGCACATGCTGAATCTCAATGCCATTTGTTGAACTGAACTTGTCTCTGAGCATCTGATCTGTTTAAATTTGGGAAAGAAGAGGTTTGGACCTATTGTCTCAGTTCTAGCATCCACTATTAAGCATAGCTTCATTTTAGGTTTTTTTACTTACAGACTGTTGATGGCAGAACTAATCACTAAGACATTTTACTTAGAACTACTGCAAACTTTTAGACATATTCTACATAGATGTGGACTTTTTAATATGAACAACTCCTTTGAAAATATAATGGCAATAATAGCTTTCTTGAGTATTTTTCTTTAATACCAAATTGAATATCCAAGGAGTAAATGGAGCCTGAGTTCTTTTGTGCCCAGATGGCTACCTCATTTCTTGGGGAAAAAGTGTGTTGGTTCAGTAAGTGACCCTGTGTTTAAAGGGGAAGTCAGATACACCAGAGAGAGCCTTGTTTTTCTCTGCATATTAGAACACTTGCATAATTATTGGCCAAAAAGAAAACTTGGAATTAGTTTTTATGAAGGACTCAGAACTCATGATCTTGTAAACCTACTTTCTGAAGATGTGTTTGTTCTCTGTATTTCTTACTGCATTTAATAACGCCATTATTTGCATTTATATAGTATAAACTGAATTGGCATAGAGACTTTATAACACACTAAGAAATCTCTATATTTTGTATTTATTGATATCTTAAAGGTAAACTTAAAGCAACAGTTTTTTTCCCCAAAATACTGTAAATTTAAACAAATATCATTAATTATCAGGTGTGGCAATGTGGTGGGCAGTTGGAGATTATGCCTTGCTCTGTTGTTGGACATGTTTTTCGCAGCAAAAGCCCTCATACCTTTCCAAAAGGCACGCAGGTGATTGCTCGAAACCAAGTTCGCCTTGCAGAAGTCTGGATGGACGAATACAAGGAAATATTTTATAGGAGAAACACAGATGCAGCAAAAATCGTTAAACAAGTAAGTGAGGGCTAAAAAATGAAATGACAGTTGAAAACTGTTCCAAGTCCATAAGCCTTTTTTTGCTTGAATTACCTCATGGAACAAAAAAAGAAAAGAAAACACTTAAAAAGCATTTTTGAAGGTAGGCTCATAAATTTTAAAACTTAAAATAAATAGCTTGGGGCATTCAAGATGGGTAAAGGAGCTTGTTACCAAGCCTACAGGCCTGAGTTCAATCCCTGGGGACCCACACCTTGCATGGAGATAAATGATTCCTGTTAGTTGTCCTTTGACTTCCCACATGTGTATGCCGTGGCACATGTATACACACACACACACACACACCCCCACACACACAAAAAAAAAAAAAATAGTAATAATGATAAAGTAATCATAGTAAATGTGTATAAAGCTTATTGATGCTAGTTTGCTCTCTTAAAGGAAAAAATTAAATAGCTTTATAAAATAAAGGAAAGTTAAAAACAATTAACTCAAAATGGCCTTTTTCAACCCAAGTTCCAACTGGGAATTTTGTTAAGATTAAAACACAAATTAGAAAAGAAAACACCCGATTGTGCAGTTTGGGGAATTATTTTTTGCAATTTGACTCCAAAGAGATACTGGATCTTAGCACTGTTTACCTGCATGTGTTTCCTCACACCTCACTATATAGGTCATTTTAAAGTAAGCAGATGGGATAGATCCAGAATGCTCCCACAATCAGCCCTATGATCACTGCATTTTGGCAGAGACCTTTGCTCTGTAGAAAGTCTGTTTACAAATAAAGTGTACTACAGCGCTCCAGTGTGACTTGATTCTCTTAAACCACCAGAAACCAGACAGGCAGTAGTACACTTGTTTGAATGAATGGCATTCATTCAAAGTCCATCTTGCATCCAGAACTTTATCTAATACCTAAATGTAAATACAAATAGTACCAATAGTACCATTTGCAGTATTTATCAGAGCTGATAATGACTAAACATTCCCTTCATTCCCTCATCTATTTCTAGAAATCATTTGGTGATCTTTCAAAAAGATTTGAAATAAAGAAACGCCTTCAGTGTAAAAATTTTACATGGTACCTAAATACTGTTTACCCAGAAGTGTATGTACCAGACCTTAATCCTGTTATATCTGGATATGTGAGTATTTTTTTGTTCCCCCTTTTCCTTAATAAATCCCCTCCCATATCTTTTAATTGATTGCTTTGGGAGCTTGACATTATTAATGCCACTTCCCTGAAATTAACTGAAAAACAGCAACTATGCCGTTTGATATATATATATGCATATATATTTTTTTTTAAATCTTTTACTTAGATTAAGAGTGTTGGTCAACCTCTGTGTCTGGATGTTGGTGAAAATAACCAGGGAGGCAAACCATTGATTCTGTACACGTGCCATGGACTCGGCGGAAACCAGGTGAGTACAACCTAACTTGACTCTCCTTTGAGAACTTTCAGGTGCTGGGTGTTCTCAGAAGTCACAGCTCAGCTAGATGCTAAGGTAAACTGGTGTGCAGACATTTTAAAGCTAAACATGATGTTGTAGAGTATTTACTTAATTTCAGGTAGACTTTGGCTCTGAAAGTAATCTGGTTACCCACTTGATCTATAGAAAGGAGAGTGGAAAAAAACAATAATGTCATTTGATGATGATGAAAAAAGGAATAATGTCATTTGATGATGATGGGTGTGTGTGTGTGTGTGTGTGTGTGTGTGTGTGTGTGTGTGTGTTCTGAAATTTTTGATGCTTGTGTGACTCTTGGTATGGAGACTTTGTGAGGCACCAGGTGAAGACTATATTAAAGTCATAGCAAATTGACATAGCATCCTGTGGTAATGCTGACACAGCTGCATTGTAAAGTCCTGTTTCACTATGCTGCACCTAAATGCTGTGTTTTCCTTTTCTTTTTCTTTTCTCTTTGATTACTGACATCCTTGTTTCCATTCTATTTTCCCAATTAAGGGCAAATGTGAAATGTTACCACTTAGCCTACTAAAGCTGTAGAAAATACCCAGTCTCTGGCTTTTAGCTTATTTTGACCTTATCCTTTACAAGTTACCCCAGAGAAGGATTAGACTTTCTCCACAATCAGTCAGCAAGTTCCCCTACTGATTCCTGGGTGGGCTTCATCCACTGGGCTCCTAGCTCTGTTAGGAACCCGTATCGAAGGACCAGCATCTGCAGTCAGTAACATAAGGTCCAGAGTAAGGAATCCAGAGTGCTTTGTGGGTATATAAAACCACCTCAGAATTGGATGAGGTGCCCATGGATTTTCCTGAGAAAGGTAACATTTTAGACTTTATACTGAGAGGTAAGTACGACCAAGAGAAGGGTTTAGTGTGGAATGCTAAGGAAATGTGGAGGGTGTGAGGATGTACAAAGAAAAATATTCGGAATCTTTTCCTTTGGGGGAATCGCCTGTATTTTGGTACAGAACTTTTACAGCAGTACATATTTGATGGGACTCTGAAAGTATCAGTGTTAGGAAAAAAGGATCAATGTATCTCCTGGCCAAGCTACTTCCACAATCTTCTTATTCATTAAACTCAGCTTAGTTTCAGTCTATTTGAATATATATATGTTCAATATATATATATATATATATATATATATATATATATATATATATATATATTTTTTTTATACATAAGAATATATATAAAAAAATTTTTTATTATATATAAAAAAATATTTTTTTTCTCTGTTATCATGTAAATAACAATATGCTTATTTCCTCATTTTTAGACATATTGCCAATGATTGTTAATACTTAGACATTTCTCTCAAGGTCTCTCCAGAACTGTATTTATCTTAAAATATATTATTACTACTATTTTATAATAATTTACTGTAGGTACTATCTTAAAAAATATAGTGTGTGTGTTATTTTGTGTGATTTCTATTATCTTTTCCAAGCAGATATTTTTGTAGAGAATTATAAAATCAACTTTAGAGCCAGGCAGTGGTGGTGCATGCCTTTAATCCCAGCACTCCAAAGCAGAGGCAGGCAGATTTCTGTGAGTTTGAGGTTAGTCTGGTCTACAAAGCTAAGCAGAGAAACCCTGTCTGGAAAAAAAAGACACAAAAATTAAATTAAATTAAGTCAACTTTAAATTATCAACAGGATAGGCTGTCTTTAAGAAATTTGGGGAGAAAACTCAGTAACTAAAAATACTTGTTTAAATGTGTGATACAACCTTTACTATTGGAAGAATTGGCAGTCACTGATCTTGGGAAGCCTATGTCAGGATAGCATTTTTCCCCATAAGAAGTGAAAAGTAAAACGTAGTTTGAGATGCTAAAAAGACAGAGCAGGTTGAGATAATGTGAGTGATGGATTCAGAGGTTGGACTTCATCTTAGATGGAGTCAAGCATTCTGGCAGAGAAGCATCCTGAAGGAGGTCTGGGTGAGAGCAGCCATGTAGTCGAGGTTCCGAGAACACAGAAGGCCAGGATGGCCAGCGTAGAGTGGTCTAGGCAAGGAGCAAAGGAAATGAGGTCAGAGATTTTGATAAGGATCCCGGTTGTACAGAGCTCTGCAGACCTATTAAAGAAGGTGGATTTAATTCTGAATTCAACAGAAGCCATGGAGAGGTTTTCTGAACAGGAGAGTACTGTTTTCTGGTTTGTATTTCAAGATGACTCTGGCTTCTGTCATCCAGACACAATCATTTCTTACATCTTTCACTTGTTTGTTTTTTATTTTTGAGATTTAATAGTTTTAACATTTTTCCCCTTCCCTTTACCCCCTCCCATATAAAACCTCCCCACTCTCCTTCAAATTCACGGCCTATTTTTTTTCACTAATTGTCACTGCATGCATATATGTGTATACATTATACATTCCTGAATATAAGCTGTTTAGTCTGTATAACGTTACTTGTATGGATGTTCAGGACTGGACAACTAATCAGTGAGTTCTTGCCTGGGAGGATCACCTCTGCTGCTCTCAGCTGTCCCCAGTGGCCTATAGTTCTTTGTATAAGGTTGATGCCTCCGTGGGCTTTTCCCTGTCTACTTTGGCATGTCCATTGGTGTCATCCTTGTACAACTGGCCTTCAGGCAGTCCTATTTTTAATCAATTATGTCCCTCAACTACTTGGCAAAATTTAGTTTCCTGAGAACTCAAATCCAGAGGTCTCATTTAATGTGAGCATTTTCTCCTTTTCTTCCATTTTGATCACGTAATAGTGTTTCATGACATATAAACCTTTTATAACAATGTTTCTAAATGCAAAAACCAGTAACTATTTTTGTAATGTGGCTGGATTGGAGAATGTCCTGCCCCAATGCTATTCTGTCATTACAGCCTCATGCCAGCTAATATTTTACACACATTCCCCTCCAGAGCATGTGTCCAGGTTCTGAGTGACATGTCTGTCCCACAATTTCAGCTGGTTGGTTAGTTATTTACTTTGTATTTTCAGCTTTTTCTTTCCTTCCAAGTTTCATCTTAACGACTCTTTAATAATACTGATTTTTTTTTAATCATCTTTGAGTTCTTAAGGATTATCTTAGTTTAAATTACTTAGTTGGGGATAGTTAGAATGCTGTTTCTTTCCCCTTTGTAAGCTGCTTTTTACAGGGCTCCTGCCTGAAAAGTTGATTACAAAATCAATTAATGTTTTACTTGTAGGAGAAGAGAAATTAATCATGAGACTGAGACAAGGAATTTGGGATGGAAGCTCTGAATTCTGCTAATGTTTATGGAGTATTTACTCTAGCACAGTGCCTGCCTAGCACACATAATAAGGACTCAATAGATGTGCTAACAGGCATTATTACATTATTGAAAATCAATTATGTTAACTCATTTTATCCTTAGACTGCCAACATTATTAAATATTTGATTTTTGATGCATGTTATTATATGTCTGGGATAGTAGTTCAGTCAGTAAAGTGCCTACCACGACAGCAAATATTAGTAGTTGATACAGTACTTAGCTTTAGCTCACAGAGAATCCCAACTAGCTACATATACAATTCTAGCAGTATAAAACATGCTATCTCTGGTAGCCTATGGAAGCCTTGAAAGTTATAGGTTTTTCCACCAAGGGAAAAAACGGAGGAGAGATAAACAAGTAAGATAACACTTCATTTAGTTCTTAAGAGTAAAAAAGAGTGAGCAAAGCAGGAAAGGGTCACCAGACTTCCAAGCAACAGCCAGGCAATAGAGCAAACTCTTAGGTTATTCTTTAGAGGTAGATTTAAGTGAGCATGATCTACTACAGCTGAGGCCGGGGCTACTGTGAGACTGAGTCATGTACATTGCATGTGGCAGATAGGGGGATAGCCTTGAGCAACAGAGGTGATTTTTGTTAAGCAAGTTTATTAGCATGTCAAACCAAAGCTTTAAAGCGCCACCAAGCAGCTGGCACACTTGATGCATCATAGGGTCAGAGGTTGGCATGGCAGTATATATGAAGAAGTAATCTGAGTCAGAGAAGTGAGGGCAGAGGAGTAAGTAAGCATGAATGAGAGAACATCAGAGATTCAGAGGAACTAAGAGACTCCTTAATTGGTTATGGAGGGGATACATTAGTAGAGAGCTGCAGTGTACCAAGTACTGACCATGTATTGGTCTTTGCTGAATGTCCACTACACCTGTCAACCCATTCCTTTAGATATTTTAGTAATGCTGTGGGCAGGGACTGTTGATCCCCACCTCACAGGGGGAGAAACAGGCTCTGAAAGTCCATTTGAGTTTGTAGATTTGTGAAAATGACTTAGTTGAGATGAATTAGAGAGAGATTATTATGAGAAAGAGAGAGCGAAGAAGCAGCCAGTTAGCTGTCTTCTAGAACTTTCCAGGCTGCTTTCTGTAGCAGACTTGCACTAGCCTCCATTCCACCTCGGAATGTCCAGTTTCTAGTTTGGAAAGGAAGAAATACCACATGTAGGAAGTAACCCCTGCTGTCTTGTGTCATAACGACTCCCCTTGCATTTCTGATATTTGTATTGTGTTTGTTAAAGAACTCTTGGGTTATTTTGCTTTCCTTCCCACAGTACTTTGAGTATTCTGCTCAGCGTGAAATCCGGCACAACATACAGAAGGAGCTATGCCTTCATGCCACTCAGGGTGTTGTCCAGCTCAAGGCGTGTGTCTACAAAGGTCACAGGACAGTCGCCCCTGGAGAGCAGATATGGGACATTCAGAAGGTGAGTTATCCATCTGCTCACTAGATTACTTTGAATAGCTCTATTGATTTCCTACCCTATGTATCAGAATTTCCTCACTTTCCATAGCTCCACTATTAATCATGTGTCTCCCTATGTGATAGGAGAATATGTCTAGGTAAACTATGTTTATTCCTTAAGGGGGCAAAGCGTGTGTTTTTCACATAAAATTGCTAATTATGTTTTCCTCTCTTTGAGTACATTTTAACTTAATCTAGAATTGAAAGACTATACGGCAGATTGCATGTTCTTAAATATGTTTAAGATTTAGCTTGATCATAGCGATTCTTATCTAAAACTAGTTTTGTGTAATAGTAGCCCACTATAAGACTGGCTTTTCTGGTTTTGAAGTTGGTCATTTGAATACCAGTAGAATGCTTCTGGTTTGACAATGTATTTCAGCTTTTGCTCTCTATTTCCCTCTTCATTTTTGAAATGTCTTGCATTGACTGGACAGCAGTAAAGTGAATTATAGTATTATAAGCAAAAATCATTAATATTATATCTGCTTTAGTTGATCTTTGATTTGAAGTTAAGAATTGGATATATTTGTTATGCACATTTTCATATTTATCTGTTAACCGTGTGTGTCTTGAAACTTAATGTATGTTGTGTGTTTTCTTTTTTTTCCAGGGTCAACTTTTATATAATCCATTATTTAAAATGTGCCTTTCAGCAACTGGAGAGCATCCAAACTTAGTGCCATGTGACACATCAGATCTACTCCAAAAATGGATTTTTAGCCAAAATGAATAAGTGTTCCTTAAAGTTAAGGAGTTGAAAAGGACATATTCTTCCTCATAAAACTGTGACTAGGCGTACACTGTAGTTGTTGGGAATTATGCAAAAGCAGCTAATTGTAACTTATTCCAAGTGCATTTTCTTATTTATATCTTGAGATGTCTATGTAGTACCGCTGCAGAAATCCTGGGGGTTTCTGTCTGAAAGCACAGCACCTAGAAATACCAAAGACTATTCTGAAATGTCCAGATGTAGAAGAGAGATGTTTACAGTATGAAGAAAATAATTTTCCTAGTAAAGTGATTTGTGTTTGTACACTAGGGGATATTCATAGCTATATCCACACATTCACAGCTTAAAATGTTTCCCCTAATTTTAGGGGGAATATAAAGAGATTTGATACTGTATTTTTATAACTATATAGAAATGGATCAATGAAGGTCAGCCATTGACCTTTCTTTACAAACCAGGAAATTTTTATAGATCTAGAATTTATTGTTTTAAAATCCAGGTAAACTTTTGTTGTCTTTTGTTTACTTGTCTGTCAAATATTTCCTTAAACATGAAGTTGAATAAGGAGAAGACTATTTTTAACACTTAAATTTTTGGAAAATATACAAATATTTTTTAGTCTGAAGCCCACTCCACTTGATGCACAGGAGTTTTCCCCAAATGGCTTTTACACTGTGTATTTTCCAAGAGTACTTAAAAAAAAAAAAAGACAAAAAACTTTATAAATTATTAGCTGTTATTACAAGGGTTCCTTTTACCTTTCTAGTAGTCTTATTTTCTTAGCAAAATTCACTAATCTTGAATATTTATGATACTGAATTTCAAATGCAGCATACTTGACTCAATTCTAAATGGCAATATTGATTCATGTAGAGTGTCTTTACAATGGATTTTTCTCATAAAAAAGCCTTACTTTTATCTATGTGGAAAACACAATAAAAAAAGAACCCTGAACACTATTGCAAACTTTTGTTTCAGTTTTGTCCAATTTGGGGTAAAATCTGTAATTGATCATGGGTAGAGCATCCATTCTTTATACTAGGTTTTAATTGCCTGATGTTTGTGAAGCCCCAGATTCTTTTAAGTAAAATGCAAAAAGACAATGGTGTGAAAACAGGAATGAAGATGCTGGTGGAATTCCTGATAACTTTCTTTAATGATCTCATAAAATTATGCTTTGAAGTCACCATTTCCTCTTTGGCCATCTTACAGAGAGTTCTTGTATTAGCTCAAAAGCAGTATAGAATTTGCTTTAACTTTTAAAACCAGAGGGGTCTTGGTTATACAAAAGAAAATATTTCCTAGTATTATAGCAGTAGTATAGCTTTAATTAAATAATAAAGCATGCATTAAAATTTTTAAAGTTGAATTAAAAATTCCACATTCTTTAGCCAGTTACTTTGCAGAATTTTCAGTTCAAGGAATATCTACCATCTTTCTAACTTTATATCAAAAGTTACAGATAGGGTGTAAGACTTGGCCATTCAGCTGTCTCTTTTAAGGTAGAGAGAAAGATACACAATTTTGAAACAGCATCCCACCATGTTACATTGTATGACTGAGATAGTTGCCTACCTTTTAACATTGGTAGTCTGTTAATAATAAATAAATATTTTTCTATTATTATAGCTAATAATGACCTGCAATAGTAAACCTAGTGTATTTTGCCACTTTGATGTGCAATTTCTGCTCCCCAGTTTGTTTCACTAGACTTGAATTACCATGAGCAAAAGCTTCTCTCAGTAATTGTTCTATTTCTAAAAACAATCAAAACAGAGCAATTTTCCAATATTTTATAAACGAACCTGAGTAACTTATGTTTTTTAAAAAATGAAACCAGTATGTGGACCCTCAAAAAGGAGTCATAGGTTGATCCCTGTGGTCCAAGTCAGGTCTCTGAAATTGGGTTGCTGATGTTGTGGCCATGTTAAATATATCCAGAGGAAATGCCCTTACCTGACACAGTTGCCTCAGGCTGTTCCTTAAGTGTCATATCAATATCAGCAATTTGATTGGGTATTGGCCCTTTGGAGGAAGAGTCCCTCTTAAACTGTCTTGAGTTCTGGAACAGTGTTAACTGTAATTTTATAGAGTCTGGCTGTCATCCACTTGCATGATTTGCCTGCACTCAAGTGTGAAATTGTGGAACTCTTGCTCAATTTGAAGCTGACAGGGCAAATGGTTTGGTTTCTACTGAAGACCTGGCATGCTGCCTTCATTCCAGAGAGCCATTCCAGAGACCATCAGAGCTGAGTCCATTATCCTTCACTGCTCAAGGTCAATTCCATGTCCAGGCTCACCACAAGTTGAGAAATGCCTACTTGGTTAACCATAGAAGAAAATAATGCACCAAAAGTTGGTTATAATGACTTTTACATCACTATGATACCAGAGAATGCACATATATATTCATCAAAACATACGTGACAGGCTAGGGATGGAGCTCGGTTGGAAGAGTGCTTCCTGACATGCTCTGGATTAAATCCCAGCACCACATTAAAAACAGGCATGGTAGCACCTGCCTATAACCCCAGCATTTGGGAGATAGAGGCAGGATGATCATAAGTTTAAAGTCATCTTCAGCTACATAGGGAGTGAAGGACAGCCTGTGCCAAAGGTGACTCTGCTCAATAAAACGAAATAAACATAAACGGAAAAACATCATTATTTATGGGAAAACAAGTTTTAATTCTTAGGAGAAATTCAGTTTTCTTGTCTTTAAAGTGAGTTTCGAGCTTCCAATTCATTTTATTGACAACAGAAATAAATACCTTAAGACACTGTGGTTGTGGCCGGGCATAGGTGGCACATGCCTTTAAGCCCAGCACTCAGGATGCAGAGGCAGATGGATCTCTGTGAGTTCGAGCCCAGCCTGGTCTAAAGAGCGAGTGACAGGACAGGCTCCAAAGCTACACAGAGAAACCCTGCCTCAAAAAAAAAAAACAAAAACAAAAACAAAAACAAAACACTGTGGTTGTAGCATTCCTTGTGTGATAGATATTCAAAGCTCTTAGAAATTTGTTCATACTCCAATAAATGCCTGGGCCCTACAGCAGCATATGTGTAAGGGGATTGGTATGCAGAAAATAAAAGGTGGATATGTATATATGTGTATATGCATGGATGTTTTCAATGAAAATATGTCCTAGTTTTTTTAATGAATTTATGTATTAACTACTTTTCTCCAATCATCTATCCTCAGCACAGTTGCACTAAAGAAGTGATTCACCTTCTCTTAACACAGAGTGCTAGGGTTTGGGTTGGCAGGTATCATCACCGACCTGTGCCATGATTAGAAGGTAGTTGAGGTGTGTTGTGATGAAAGGAAGTGATGCTACTAGTGTAGCATCACTTGTGTGGGCCCTTGGAGGGGACATTTGTTCCCTCAGTCCCCACTCCCCATCCCACCACCTTGTTTCCTGGATGCTTTGAGGTAAATATCTGTGTTCCAACATGTGGTTACTACACACCCAAAGCAATGGAGCCAACACCCACGATCTAAAACCTCTGGAGTATGAGTCAGAATGGGGCTTTCTGCCTTTAAGTTGCCCTTCTCTGGATTTTGCCACAGGGATATACAGTATCACTGCACTCTCTAGTTTTCAATAATACTCATGAGACATCTTTTCTGTTTTATTGATCATATTAAGCACTAAGTACTAGTAATGTACAATAATAATCCCTGTCTCATGAAGATCACAGTCTAGTAATGTGGACATCCCATAATTATGGCATCACAACACAATGATGTTTCAGAGCAGAAAAGTTCGGAGATTCTGATGGCTCCATCAGCCAAATACAGATAATAGACTCCAAATTTTAATGAAAATTAAATGGCATTAGTTTAATTGCCAACTTGATATAATGTGGAATTACCTAAGAAGATAGCCTCAACGAGGGATTGTCTCTTCTGGATTGATGTGTAGGCACGTTCTCTAGTTACTTGCTCTGTTGTGATAAATCACTCTGACCAAAAGCAGCGAGGGTAGGAAAGGGTTTGGTTTACACTTCCAGGTTGCAACCCATCATTGAGGGAAGTATGGGTAGGAGCTCAAGACAGGAACTTGGAGACAGGAACCACAGAAAACTTGTGCATGTGGCTCACTCACTGGCTTGCTTAGTTAGCTTTCTTCTGCAGCCCAGACTCAAGTGCCTAGGGATGTGCTACCCACAGTGGGCTCAGCCCTTCCTGGTTAATTATCAATCGAGATAATCTCTTCACATCCTTATTACTCAGGCATCCCCAGACATTAATCTCTGTCTACCTCTGTTACTACCACCATGGCTTCCAGGCAGTTCGTACCTCCGTTTTCTCTACTGATTTGACAAATACGCTTCCTCCAGGGAGTTCTCTACTCTGCCAACTCCAACTCTTGTTCCTTGTTCAGGAAACCCATTTTTATGAAAACTGTATTCCTTATCTTGCCTTGAACATTTGCTAAGGATATATCTTCAGCTTCTAAAAGAAAGGAGTATTTTGTTTTTGTTTACTGTCATTCTCTTTTTTGTTTTATGGCTGGGCTTCATTATGTAATCAGTCTTTTTCTGTCTCGTCAGCCAGCTTCCAAATAATAAAATGGAGACTTCTTATAAATTATGAAATCTTGGCCTATAATGTAGGCTTGTTCCTAACTATCTCTTTTAGCTTAAATTAACCCATTTATATTAATCTCATTCTATCAAGTAGCATTACCTCTCTTCCATCTTACACCTCCTGTTTCCTCTCTGCGTCTCTTGGCATCTCTTGTATAACTAGATTTTTCTTCCTCTTCCTTTCTCTCCCTGGAAATCCTGCCTGTACTTCCTGTCTAGCTATTGGCTATTTAGTTTTTTATTACAACAATCACAGCAATACAACTTCACCCAGTGTACAAGTATCCCACAACATTTCAACATTTCCCCCTTTTGTCTAAATTAAAAGGAAAAGTTTTGTTTGTTGTTGTTGTTTTTGAGACAGGGTTTCATTTGTGTATCTTTAGCTATCCTGGAACTCACTCTAGACC